CAAACTAGCTTAGTGGACTCCTCATATTTTTTAAGTAGTATAGTCCTTTAACTAATAATGTACAATGACGAGTTAGTCGCTTTGTAAAAGTCTGTAAAATATTTAGGTATTTCTCAATATCTTAATAAAGACATGCCATTGTGGCATGATTGCGGATTAAAAAAAATATATATATATATATATATATTGTATATATTTTAAAAATTTTTATTTTTAAAAATTGATCAATTTATTACTATTATAATTTATTATTATTTTATATCAAAATTTTTATAAGCATTAATAAAAAATTTTTGAATTTGTTTTATAGAATAAATATTATAATTTAAAAATTTAATTGTTAAATAATTTTAAACTATTATATATATTTAAAATATAAATGATTATTATATTATATTATAGTAGAAAATAATAAAAAAACAACAAAAAAAAAATTTTTTTATTAATTTTTTAATCATATATAAAAAAGTTATTTACTAAAAATTTTTTAATTTTTTAATTAATAAAGTTTTACTATTATTTTTAAAACAATTAAAACAATTTGAAAAGTATTTTTAAGAGTTATCATTATATTTTTTTTCTTGTTTACAAAATTTTTTATCAAAAATTTGAAGTAATACTTTATTATCAATAGTAAGAAAATATTTAAAGAAAAAAATTAATTATAAGATCTTTTTTTATTATTGAAAAAAATTTTAAAAAGATTTGGTTTAATAAAAAAACTTATTTTTTTTTAAAAATTTTTGTTTTCACAATTTTTTAGAAAATTTTATTTATTTATTTTAGTTTTATTTTAAAATTTTAAGTAGTATAATATTTATTAAAGATAATTAATTAATATAAAATATATTAATTTTTGAAATATAAAATTGATTTCAATTATATACATATTTTGAGAATATTATTGATAATAAAAAAAAAATTTTTTAATAAAAAAATTATCTTTTAACTAAACAAATTTTTTAAAGAAGATAGTTATAATATTAAAAGATAAATAAAAAAGTATGAAACATGATATCTCTATTCTTTAACAAGTTTTTTAGATAATAAAAATTTTTTTCAAAAAGAAAGTTAAAGTTTTTATGTTTCTATTTCAATTAAGCAAAAATTTTGCAAAGACTTTTTTATCACAATTAGATTGATTCTATCATAATATAGTATTGATATCAATAATAAAATAAACAAATCTATATATTAACAATTTTTTTGGAATCTTTATACTTAGAAATAATTAAGTTTCTTAGATGATCTGAAGATTAAAAAATATTCTAATCAAGTAGATCCCTTTGAAAGAAGATTGTTTATTTGAATAAGAACTTTTTGGAGAATATTGAATCAATTCTTTTTTTTCTTTTCTAATATAATAATTCAATGATTTATTGTTTTTCTAATAGTAACAAACTATTAGGAAAGTAAAATATTGTTTTCTACATCTAGCTTAGAATACCTAATTTAAACTTTGTTTTGTTTAATCCTAGCTAGCTTAATGAACTTCTTATATTTTTTGAAGTATTGTAATCCTTTAACTAATAATGTACTAAGACGAGTTAGTCATCATGTGAAAGTTCATGAAATATTGTAAAAGTTATTTTGATAACTCAATAAAGACATGTCGTGACAACATGATTGCGGGTTAAAAAAAAAAAAAAAAAAAGATTTATATTTTACGCTATATCAAATCATATATTATGTACAGTATAAATGTTTTATTTTTTATAACGATTAAAGCAATCCTGAAAAATCAGTCGTTTTGGTAATCATTAAGGAGATCGCTCCTGGGCGTTTTCACCCCTCCTTCCTCTTGATACCACAGCTGATCAATCTCGAGTCACCACCGTCCATTTCCATTCTTCTTCAAAAAATTGTCGGCCTAATACGCACTTCATTTACCGCTTTCTGGAGCCAAGGGGAAAATGGATCGGACTAGAAGGTCAGGTCAGAGCAAGAGAATTTAAACGTCTGTTCTCAATCGCATGACCTTTTATCATCGGTATTATGACCTCAGCCGCGGGCAAAAATATTTCGCGTGACCGTCGTAAGGCGGATCATGCGTTACACTGTTTCTATATTGAATCATACAATGTATGTTACGTAAATGAGAAATATTTATTTTTAATTTTTTTTTTTTTAAACGTTACTTTTGAGCTGAAAATAAAACACCGTGTTTCCATGCATGATCGGCTAAATTGTGTCGCCGTGAATCCAGCGAAGCACCAAGAGAAACTTAGTAAACGTTAGGGATTTGCCCCAATGAAGAAGTTCATTTGCTCTTGTTTGTACATCCTTCTTTGAATTATCTTTATGTGACCACAACTCTTTTATTATGAGTTCGGTGGATTTTTTCCCGGGCTTTGTTCAAATTTGCAAATGATAGGACGGCGATCGTTTTTTCACCTTATTATTCGAGCACAAAAGAGTTGATGTTGATCAAAGTTGAACACGAATCAAGTTGTTATCATAAATTACGTATTTCACTTCTCATAACCACTTCTACTTTAGGCATTCGATGGTCAAAAGTGAATTCCTGCATGGTGTGATTAGGTTTCGAGTGCGACACAAACTCGGGATTCAAGCAATATACGTATGTATACGCATATAAAAAATAAAATTTGTCAGTTGAAATCTCTCTCTCTTTTTTTTTTTAGACATGCAACTTATTATATCCGGAAATTTTATGGTTTCACGCATTTCGTCTCAAACACCTAAATTAAACTATGATTGATATATTGTAGATAAAAATATCTTATTACTCAATGGGAAGTGAGTTGAAATAACAAAGCAGATGCGCGCTTGAGGGAGCATCCGAGAGAAACGAAAATATTGAGCAGTTTGATAATGAATGTCGAGAAATGGTAATTGTGATTTGTGGTTTCGAAGGTGTTGCCCTGAGCCAACAATGTGCATCATGTCCGCTCGTCCATCTTGGGGTGCGCGGAATCTTCCAGTTTCACGAATTTTGAGGATTACACAACGATTCCGCGAGAGCTACCACAATCATTCCCGTCGTCGAACATTCCACATTTTCTTTGGATAATCTGCCGTGAAGGCTTTTTTAAAAAAGAATTTATTACTATTAATAAAATTTCTTGCATTGCTTCGCTTTTCGCGTGCATTCTGAACGTGAAAATATGATTTCTTTCATCCAGGTGTTGAGCGTACTTCGATTCATGACGATCATTGTCACTTAAAGGAACTGCGTATAAATAGTACGTAGTTCAATATTTTGTAACACGTATAATGTTTATGTTGTTGATTTAATTTATACAAGGAGACATGTCTGATAAGGATATATAAATAAAACGGCATAACTGTCTGTTTGCGCATCTTTTTATTGGAAATCCTAGTTAAAAATTTTTTTCTCGCAAAGTTCCTGAGCATTTGTCGCCCAAAGATATAATAAAATTTATTTGTCATTTTATCACCGGTACAACAGATAGAATAAAAATAGTAGAGAAAAAAAAATAAATGTTTTGTCTTCCACTCTTTCGTAAAAGTAAACCGCTCCAACGTAAGCTTTTGGTGCTGGGAGATGGCGCCTGTGGAAAGACTTCTCTTTTAAGTGTATTCACGAGGGGTTACTTCCCACAGGTTAGTTATTGTTTTCCATTTTCGTTAACAAAATTACCAAGAGTGAGGGACAATTGAATTTTTTAATTTTCATTTTCCTAATTGACCTATTCTTTTTTGAAGGTTTACGAACCGACGGTGTTCGAAAATTATGTGCACGATATATGGATTGATGACAAACAAATAGAACTATCACTCTGGGATACTGCAGGTAGATTCAATGAACGATTCCTTGTCCTTTTTTTTATTCAAATATTCGAACCCAAAATTTTTTTTTTTTTTTTATGAACAACAGGCCAGGAAGAGTTTGATCGTCTACGTACATTATCTTATCCAGATACACATGTGATAATGTTATGCTTTGCGGTAGACAATCGGGACTCCCTGGATAACATAGGGACGAAATGGGCAAATGAGCTAATCGAATATTGCCCCGGGGTGAAAGTCGTACTGGTTGCCTTGAAGTGTGATTTGAGGGAGGATATTCAAGCAGTGAGAAACATGCAAAGACTAGGGGAAAGGCCCGTAACGTACGATGAGGTAATGCGGCGGTTAAATTATGATTCCCGAGGAGTTTGCGAAAAGAAAAAATCAAATCAAATGTAAAAAAAATTTTTTACACCAATAATAATTATATTTATAGGGTTTAGCGGTAGCTCGAAGCATCCGGGCATCTAGGTATCTGGAATGTTCGGCGAGACATAATCGAGGTAACTTCACGTTCTTCGTTTTCGTGTTCTTTTCCTTTGTTTGCTAACGTTCGTCTAAACATACATTATTTATCGACCCCAAGGTGTGAGAGAGGCGTTTGAACAAGCCGCACGTGTGAGCATTCACGCCAAACCAAAAGGTATCCCGGGCGACCCGGTCAATAGATGCGTTATATTGTGATGAGAAATTGGAATCTTCGATTGTCGAACATGTTTTTTTTTCGTACTTTTAATTTCAATCAAGCGTATTGTTTTAATCGGATTTGATTTCCTGTTGTGGATATACACTTACACTCCATGTATTTTCTATGAAACTGGTTTTATTTTTATGTGGTGGGTTGTATAGTTTTCGCCAGATGTATACATTCACTAATCCCATTAATTCGTAATTTATTCACGCGTCTCTTCCTCGTTTTTAACCTGACGTGAACGATTATTCGTTAAAAATAATCACAATCTTTGTCTCAACAACTTTGACTTTCTAATCGCATCGACTGAAGGCTGAGGGAGGAGGTGTCATTGGAATCAATGAGGAAGGTTAAAAACGATATTTGGGCTGCAGGGAGGAGGCACTTGATAATTACGAGTTTCGTGCAAATATTCTGTACCATATATGAATATAGAAGATTTTTTTAATAATTGTCTTAACAACTTTAATAAATGAAGGCCTGAGAAAAGACCAATGAGAATAAAGTCGATAGGTGTTATGATAATTAGCGTCGGCGTATATATGACATCATCCCTTTTTAGCGTAAATTCGGAATAATTATTGCATAGAATCCATTATTAGTTAGCCAAAATGATTTTGAATGGCACACCTTTGTTTTAATTTTAAGCTTTTCAGGGAATTTAGTTTAAACTATTGAGTTATGCATGAGGGTGTTAATTAAGTAAATAACCAAATTAATCGTTGAAGGTTAAAAAAAAAAAAGAGTGCCTAAGAACACTAAATAACATAAAAGAATTAACTATTCTAGAAATGTTAGCTACTGTCAGGGGCGTTGGCCTAATGGATAAGGCATCAGACTTCGGATCTGGGGATTGTGGGTTCGAGTCCCATGCGCCTCGAAAAGATGATTTTTTTGAATTTTAGGAATATCGGAGATTACGTAACTATGTCATATGACAACAATGCATTGAATATACTGGTTTAAAGAAAAACTTTATGCAAGTAAATATTTTATTTGTTAACTCTCAAGGAGTGTGCAAAGAGAAACATTGATCAACCCCTGCAAAAATTTATTTTCTCATCCCAAAATAAGAAATTAGAGCTCACAAAATTCCAGGCCCACCAAATCCACCATATCCGCCACCACCATATCCGCCAATTTCCCCGCCAGGTCAGGCCGAAAACGAACAAGCATCTTCTACTCTTCAAGATGGGCACAACTCAAATCTCGGCACAGAAGAGATATCCGAACCCTCGTCGACTCAGCCCGAACGAAGGGAGGCGTACTTTGGGTAAAGAAAAATTTGTTAAATGTTTACACATCGTTCACCACGTT